ATAATGACCCTAGAGAAGGAGTGAGGAACCTGTGGCCTTAAGGCCACATGTGGCCTTCCAGGTCATTGGGGGCAGCTTCTAGACAGAGTCCAAGTTTTATAGAACAAATCCTTTTATTAAGGGGATTTGTTCTGTGAAGTTTGGATTCAACCAAAGGGCTTGAGGACCTAGAGGGCCACCTGTGGCCTTCAGGCAGCAGGTTCTCCACTCCTGCCCTAGAGTTCAATCATGAGTAGTTAACATAGCTCAGATTTGCAGAGAAACTCGTTATTATCAAAACCTTTCAGCTCTTAAACTTTTCACGATACAAAAGAATACCATGTCTGTACAACAAGGTATCGTGTAACACATGCTCCAAATACCTTCTCATTTAACACAGAAATCAAGATGTGCCATTTTTATTTCCTTGATGTTCATTTTCAGGTCTAAAATTCAGTCTGTTTTTAAATGAGAAAAACGTCTTGTGTTTGAAAAGTCCTCCCAAGCTGGTTTCTCATCTCACTCTTCATGTCACTAAATTGGGAAATAATAAAGAGTGAAGCATCAAGTAGAATAACACAGTTGAATTAATTTGGGGGCACAGAGAACGAGATAAGATCACTGCTTTGCTTTTGCTTCCAAACTATGAAGATGAGAAAATGAAAAAAAAATTATATTAAAATAATAAGGAGGTTATTACTGAAATAAATACTTATTTTCTTACAGATATTTACAATGCTTACTGGCAGCTAGGTGGCATAATGGATAAGAATGCAGGTCTTGGACTTAGGAAGACCAGAGCTGAAATACAACCTCAGACACATTATTAAATGTGTGACGCTGGGTAAGTCATTTTATCTCCCCCAGCCTTATTTTCCCCATCTGTAAAATGGGGATAATAATAATACCTACCACACAGGGTTATGAGAATCAGTGAGTTAAGCTACATATACTGCTTTGCAAACCTTAAAATGCTATGGAAACTCTAGTTTTATTGGTATTAGTATTATTTGGTCATAATTACTTTTATAAAAGGAAAATATAACTAATAACAAGGTACTTTATTCCTGAAATCCACGTTTTTTTCCCCCTTCTGAATCATCCATTTTATTATCACATGTAATATCCAAGGAGCTCTCAAAATTCAAATATTGCATTGAGGGAGGGAAGTTATAGGATGGTCACATAATCAGAGGGTAGTATGGGATATTGCTTAGAACCCAGGCTGGAGATAAAGTGTAGGAACTACTGGATGTGGCTGGTTTGGTTTTGCTGACTGGTCTTAGCTCACCTAGACTTTTGTGAATATATACTTAGAATTATAGTTTACAGCCCCGCATGAAATCAATGGCATAGCTGAGCCTAGAATCCAGACCTCATGTTCTAGTCCAGTAATCTTTCCATTACACCAGAGATGTCAAACCTGTAATTGCCTAATACAGCCTGCCTACAATATGCCCTAGTGCTCTGGAGTCATATCAAAATATAATTTGGAAGGCAACTAGGTGGTGCAGTAGATAGAGCACTGGCCCTGGAGTCAGGCCCTGAGTTAAAGTCCAGTCTCAGACACATAACACTTATAGCTGTGTGACCCTGGGCAAGTCATTTAAACCCATTGCCTAGCACTCCCTCCTCAATATATACACATATATACACACATATATGTGTATATGTATATATATATATATATATATATATATATATATATATATATATATAAAGTATATATATACATATATACTATATATACATATATATATATATACATATATATACATACACACATATACATATACATATATATAATTTGGAAATATTTCACAAAATAAATAAAAATACAATACAATATAGATAATGTTAATATATGGTTTTCTAAGTCAATAGGCTGCCCATAGGGATCCGAATTCTCATTTATGGTTTAATGCTCCTCCCCATTTCTATCTGAGTTTGATACCACTGCACTATGCTAGGAGTTATTTGAATGTAATTATAAAAAGGAAAAAGGCGCACCAAACTGACCGTGTCGTCTACCAGTCAGTTAGCTCTTTCTCTTGTTTATAAACAATGTAATCTTATTTAACACTGACAGAAATATAATACTGTACTGTATAGGTATGCACTAGTCAAACTCTCATATTTTGAACAAAAAAATCTTTAAATAAAATTTTATGTATGTACACAAATTTAGGGCAGTTAGATGGTGCAGGAGATAGAATGCCAGGCATGGAGTTAGGAAGACTCATCTTCATGAATTCAAATCTGACCTTAGACGCTAGCTCTGTGATGCTAGGCAAATCATTTAACCATGTTTGCCTCAGTTTCATCATTTATAAAATGAGCTGGAGAAGGAAATGGCAAACCACTCCAGCATCTTTGCCAAGAAAACCCAAAATGGGGTCACAGAGTCAGATATGACTGTAAAATGACTGAATACAGATGAGACAAATTGATTTGACAAATAAAAAAACCAATTAATTAATAGCAATAACATCTTTTTTTGGCAACAGATTTGTGAGATAGTGTGAATTACTATTAGTCTTTTTCCAATGAGGAGACTGTGGCTACAAAGTATGGTTACAAAGTCAAATGTACACTTGATATGATGTTGAACGGATCCATAATTGTGTGTGTGTGTGTGTGTGTGTGCATGCGTTTAAGTGTCTTCATCATTTGTCTGCATTTTATTTTGTGACATTTTAAACTTTTAAGGGGTTGTAGGACAAGCAATATTTTTCAGTGGAAAGAGCTCTAGCCCAGCATTCAGGAGATCTTTTCTTAATTCTACCACTAATTACCTGTGTAACTTAGTAACAAGTCACCTTTTCTGAGCCCTAATCTTTTCATCCTTAAAATGAGAAACTTGGAATGATACTCCTTAAGGTCAATTCCAACTCCGACATTCTACCAATCCAATAGAAAAAACTGGCACATCGCAAAATAAAGTGGTAAATACTATCAAGTGATTAGTTTTTGTTGTACTCCCTATCCTTCCATGTGCATCATTAGAGGATACAAGGACATTTATTCTTCAATGAACCAATTTTCATGAAAGAATTTCTCTTCTTGTGTTCGTAAGGAAATGGTAAAGAACAAGTCTTTAATGGAGTATTGGCAAATGTTTTTCAAATATTTCAGATAATAGTTGTATGGATAATATAAGTTTGAATATGATTTGCTTATTTTCTTTAAATAAAATCATTAATTCCCCCAAGGAATGATGAGTCATTTATAAGTTCATTGTAATGTCCCATTAATATAAAGGTTACCTAAAGTATTTGCTGAGAGTACAAGAGAATTTGAGAAATTAGTCCATGTAAAAATTAATTGAATTACTTTTATTCTTTTAAAATTATTTTATTGATATCTTTTCTTTTTATATCACTTAATATTTTTCAACGCATCCCCATTAGCTTCTGCCAGACAACTATTATTTTAAACAAAGTGTGAAAAGAAGGGAAAGGTTAAAATTTTGAGGAAAACTTACATTAAACAAATCCAACATTATGTATAAATCCATACCTTTGCACCTCACCTTTGTAAAGAGAGACATGACATTTTATTTCTCTTCTTTGGGGACCAAGTGGGCAATTATAATTTTGTAGCATTCAGTTTCAATAGTTTTGTTGTTCTTGCCATTCATATTGTTGTAGTCATTTTGCATATTATTATCCTTAGTCTGCTTATTTCACTTTGCAACAGTTCATACCAGCCCATGCTGCTCTCTATTCAGTATATTCACCCTTCTCAGAGAATAGAGATACATCATTACATTCATGCACCGCAACTAGATAACAACAAATTAACAATTTTTCTTACATAATTCCAGATTTGTTGGACCAATTCACAACTCCACCACTAATGCATTATAGTTATACAATTCATATGTTGGTTTTATATTATATTATGTCATAATATATTATCTTGTGTTGTGTTGTATTATGTTATATTGTTATGTTACATCGTGCTGTGTTGTGTTTTGTTGTGTTGCATGGTGTCGGGTCATGCCGTATCATGCTGTTGTATTATATTGTATTGTATTGTATTGTATTATGTTGTATTGTATGATGTGGTATGGTATGGTATTGTATGGTGTGATATGGTATTGTATTGTATGGTATGGTATGGTATACTATGGTAGATTGACTCCCAGATATTTCATGGATGTCATAGTGATTTTGAATGAGATTTCCCTTTCTTTTATTCCCTCCTGGATTTTATCAATGCTATATTTTTAAAATGCTACCAATTTTTGTGTATTTACTTTATAACCTACTACTTTACTAAATTAGTAGTATAATCTAGTACCTTACTAAAGTAGTAGTATAACCGACTACTTTACTAAAGTCTTTGGATTTGTTTGTTTGTTTGCTTTACTAATTCCCTTGAATTTTCTAAGTCAGCCATCATGAAATCCACAAATATTAATTTTATTTTCTCTTTGTCTATTTTTTTTTCATTTCTTTTATTTAACTGAATTGCTATACAGGCAGGTATACGTCATAGTCCATAGAGCCATATACCTGGAGTTAGGGAAAAGTTAGTTTCAAACTGGCCTCAGGTACTTTATTAGTTAATTGACCCAAGGCAAGTCTCTTAACCTGTGTCTACCACAGTTTTCTTATTTGTAAAACTGGAGATAATAATAGTACCTAACTCTTATGGTTGTTTTGAGTATCAAATGAGATAGTTATAAAGTACTTTGCAAACCTTACAGAACTATACAAATGCAAACTTCTGCCACTACTGCATCTACTTTTGCTACTTGCATTTCTAGAACTTCTTCTTGTTACTTATCCTTCATTCTTTTTAAAAACAGTAACAACAACAATAAAACTTCATTTATTTATACATTAATGTTGAGAGCTGGACTAGAATTTAAGAAAAAAAAAGAGAAGAAAAAGAAAACAGTCTATGAAACAGAGTCCTGTACAGAAAAGAGGAGAAGACAGGTTATGAGGAAGGGAAAAAGACACACATACACATACACACAAGATGAAGGAAGGTAGGCTGGGCAGCCAGGGTCAGGGTTCCTGGGTAGTCACTTGCTTCATGTAGGTTTCCAGCAGATACTTTTTAAAGGCTGTGGGATTTGTCCAAAGTTCAGCAGCACGTGCGTTCAATGAGCTGTCAATGTTAGGTTCTCCCAGTAGGCTCTGGATAGATAGCAGGATGGTCCTGACATCATACAAAGCTGACCACTTGTCCTTGAGGATGTCCAAACAGATGTTGCATTGGGTGCCCACATTAGGATGGTAACACGGTGTGACAAATTTCACAGTGGGAGCATTATATGGGTAGCCACTGGGGAATTCCAGGGAGAGCTTACACCTTAGGTCTTTATATACTGTCCCAGCTGCCCCATGGATAGTCCCAACCCACTTGAAGAGATTTTCTGACTCTGGGAAACCAGAAATTCCTTCATCTCCAGGCATCATTAGGGTCATCAATTCATTAATTCCTGCTATAACTGCTTGCCTACAGACCCTTATGGGCGTCTGCAGCACTGGCAGTGGCTGGCTGGGTTGCGGTTCTGTGAAGCCATGGGGGACTGGAGAAAAAGGAAGAGACTCCCAGGTGGCAACTGCTGTCCTTCATTCTTATACTCTCTCTCTCTCTCTCTCTCTCTCTCTCTCTCTCTCTCTCTCTCTCTCTCTCTCTCTCTTTTTGAGGCAATTGGGGTTAAGTGACTTGCCCAGAGTCACACAGCTAGTGAGTGTTACATGTCTGAGGCTGGATATGAACTCAGGTCCTCCTGACTCCAGGGCAGGTGCTCTATCCACTATGCCACCTAGCTGTCCCTACTATCCTTCATTCTCGAGGTCAGGACTGTGATAACCAAGAGGTATTGCCAAGACAGATAAGTGAATTCAATTTAAGTGAGAGAGGGTTGTGCAAAATCACCATCCTAACTTTCTTCTCTGAAGCCATCTGGGTCCAGTGGCAAGATATACATCAGGATGATTAGAGATGACCCTATATCAAATAACAATGGGAAAGAGGCCATCATTTTACTTGGAAAGCTTCAAGTGTTTCTACATCACATAAACTATTAGCTTTTGGTTTTGACATTTCAAAGGATTATGCCACAGAGTACATAATAGTCAAGAGTCATGGAAAATTATATTGGAAACATGATTTTTACTATGCATAAAAGCCAGAAAACTGACTCTCCAATTAAAGGAGCATAGAATTTTTTTAGATGGGAAAACATATATAGATATGAAATAGAAAAATGGAAAACTGCTGGTTAACATAATTAACATTTGTAATTGATGGATAGAAAAGGATACAACTGAAAAGGTGTTTTGAAATGTTTATCCCAACAAAGCAATTTGTTACTTTTACAATTTAAGACACCAGGAATCCTAACAAAATAACAATAATAAATGAATAATTTATTATGAATAAACATACAGAATGAATGAACAACAGAGCAGGCTACCCTACTGCATTTACTAGGTGCTCTTTCCCCCATCAACCACCATGTTCCGGTGTCAGGGCTGCATAAACCACCCATGGACTTACAAAATAACTCAGCTTCACCATCCCTTCCTCCCAGTGACTGAAAACCAAAAAAAGTAGAAACTTACTAAAGCAGTGTGTCAGTCCTCTATGCTGGAAGGGAGAACTGAGAACAAAGAGAACTTGGGCAGGGATATATATGTGCACGTGTGTGTCTGTGTTTCTCTCTGTGTGTGCTTGCCTTGCATAGCTCTTAAGCAGGCATGAGGGAAAGGGAAGGGAAACAAATATTTACCAAGTACCTACTGTGTGCTAAATGTGCTAAATGATTTATAAATATTATTTGTTGTTTAGTCATTTTCCATCATATTTGATTCTTTATGACCCCTTTTAGGGATTTTTTTTTGGCAAAGATACTGGAGTGGTTTGTCATTTGTCATCACTTTCTATTTTACAGATAAGGAAAATGAGGCAAACAGATCTAAGTGACTTACTCAGGTTCACATTGTAAGTGTCTCAGGCCGCATTTGAACTCAGGTCTTCCCTGATTCCAGATCTAGGACTCTGTCCATTTTATCACCTAGCTACCCATACATATTATATAATTGAGAAAAGGTCAAAGCATCCACCTGGAGCCAGTTCTGTCCCACCAGAAGTCACTTGTGGCAGAGTGTAATTCCTGCGGAACATGAATTACCCAGCATGAAAGAAGGATGAGACAGCTTTGAGGTCCAGTTACGAGGGAAACTGCCATCAGAGGAAAGCATCAGAAAGTGAGCAATAGGGGAATATAGTGGTGGAGGGGAAGACTAAAATTGTCACAGGAGGAAGAAAACTCAATTAAAAACATTAAGCATAAAGAAGTAAACAGGAAAGGTGTTACTAATAGAAGGAAATATGGCCTCCAGAATAGCCAAAAGAGTTCAGACATCAATTGACAAATATTGCAAAACAAAGAAAGATGAATCAAGAGCTACTGAGATACAGGATTCTATGGATTCTCAAGAGAGTATGGAACCAGAGCAGAATGTTTCTAAATGATCTAGAAGGCAAATAAGAATTATGATAACATAATTTAAGGCTACATGGTAGAAATAATTGGCAAGCCTTGCCAAAAAAAATCAGAGATAATAACTGATTAGGAATGCAAATGCTTAAAATTAAAGGACAATCAGGAAGAAGAAAAACAAAAAGCAATGATGTTTAAAGAAAATGTGATATCCAGGCAAGCAAAATATACTGACTTTGAAGATAAGATATATAAAAATAAATTCAGGATTACAGAAAAAAAACTTAACCCTATTTCTCAAAAAATAATGCAAGAAAATTGCCTCGAATTTCTTTTAAAAAAAAAACTGAAAAAAATGCCAATTGAAAAAATCCACAAACAGCTTCAGGGGCAAGGTTGGAGAAGACATGCTGCAAATTCCAAGACACAGTGGTTATATTTAATAATTCCAATAACAAGCAGCACATTCTATAAACAGTCATGAGAAACAACTTCATATATAAAGAAAAGGAAAATCTAATAATACAAAAAGTATATTGCACCCATCAAAAAAAGAATGGAGAGAAAAATGAAATGTTCTAGAGAGCAAAGAAGCTCAAGATCCTATCCATGGTGTATACCTAGAAAGAAAACCAGGTGTGAATATTTTTTCCCCTTTAAAATACTTCATACAACAGATAACCAAGAAAAATCAACAAATATAGCAACCAAGGACAACTACAAAATAACAACAGAAAATTGTTAATAGATATATCTCTGAAAGTACATAAGAAAACAAAGGTAAAAGTACAAATAAAATATAGGTGATAGTAGAGAAACAGTCCAAAATTTCATGACTTAAGCCTTATAATAGCCCTTTTATAAATGATTTTATTTTTGTGGGATTAAGTTATAGAATGGAAGGATGTATAAAGGGCAGGGGAAGGGAAGAAGTTAGAGAAGAATATGTGATATAACCTAATGAAGTGAAAGGCTAACAACAAAGGGGGGCAAAAAACTGCAGTAGTCTCAGAAAGAAGGGAACCTAGAGTGGAATAGGAGAGAAAGGGAAGAGAAGAATTGAAAAGGGGGGAAAAAAGGGAGAAATCTTGTTTTAGTAGTAGAAGGGGATATTATTGATTTACATTCCCATAGGAAAAGAGAAATATTCTATAAAGGCAGATCATGATTTTCCAGTGAAAAGGAAATCCCCCTCACAGTTCCAAGGCAGAAGAGAGTGCTTGTGGTCACTCATACACCAGAATACAGGTCAGGAAAGAGGTAAACACCTCTCCTTTGATCATATATCACCTTGGGAGAACTGAAAATTTACAGGTCCCTAAAAGTACTTCTGAAAATAGCTGCACAAAACCCCTGAAGCTTGGAACAGTATACCCTCCAAGTAATTGGCTGTGAACATAAGGAAAGCACAAAAACACTCAGATTATAGAATCATACTTTGGTGACAAAGAAGATCAAAACATACAACCAGAAGAAGAAAACAAAGAGAAAGCTCCTACGTCCAAAACCTCCAAGAAAAATATGAAGCAGTCTCAGTCTGTGGAAGAGCTCAAAAAGGATTTTGAAAAGTAAGTAAAAGAAATAGCGGAAAAATTGGGAAGAGAAATGAGTGAAGCAAGAAAATCATGAAAAATGAATCAACAGCTTGCTAAAGGAGACCTAAAAAATACTGAAGAAAATAACACCTTAAAAATAGGCTAACCCAAATGGCAAAAGAGATCCAAAAAGCCAATGAGGAGAAGAATGCCTTAAAAACCAGAATTGGCCAAATGGAAAAGGAAGTCCGAAAGCTCACTGAAGAAAATAATTTCTTAAAAATTAGAATGGATCAAATGGAAGCTAATGACTCTTTGAGAAATCAAGAAATTATAAAACAAAAGGAAAAGAATAAAAAAAAACTGACCTGGAAAATAGATACAGGGGAGATAATTTAAAAATTATTGAACTACCTGAAAGCCATGATAAAAAAAAAAGAGCCTAGACATTATGTCTCAAGAAATTATCAAGGAAACCTGCCCTGATATTGTAGAATCAGAGAGTAAAATAGAAATGCAAGGAATCCACCAGTCACCTCCTGAAAGTGATCCCCAAAGGAAAACTCCTAGGAATATTATAGCCAAATTCCAGAGTTCCAAGGTCAAGGAGAAAATATTGGAAGCAAGCAGAAAGAAACAATTCAAGTACGGTAGGACTGGAAGGCTTGAAATATGATATTCTGAAGGTCAAAGAAACTAGGTTTAAAACCAAGAATCACCTAACCAGCAAAACTAAGTATAATCTTTCAGGGGAAAAGATAGATATTCAATGAAATAGAGTACATTCAAGCATTCTTGATAAAAAGACCAGAGCTGAATAGAAAATTTGACTTTCAAATAAAAGGCTCAAGAGTAGCAAGAAAAGGTAAACATTAAAGAGAAGTCATAAGGGATTTATTAAAGTTGAACTGTTTACATTTCTACATGGAAAGATGATATTTGTAACTCATAACACCTTTCTCAGTATTAGGGTACTTAGAGGGAAAAAATATGTATACACAAACACACACACACAGAGGGCACAGGATGAGTTGAAGATGAAGGGATGATATCTAAAAAATAAAATTAAGGAGTGAGAGTATTATACTGAGAGAAGGAGAGGTAGAATGGGGGTTAATTATCTAACATAAAACAGACAAGTAAAAGCTCTTACAGTGGAGGGGAAGTGGGGGAAGGTGAGAGGAAATGAGTGAATCTTACTCTCATTGGATTTGACTTAAGGAGGGAATAACATACACACTTGATTGGGAATGGAAACCTATCTTACCCTACAGGAAAATAGGGGTTAAGGGGATAAGAGAGGGGAGGATGATTGAAGGGAGGGCAGATTGGGGGAGGGGGACAATCAGAAGAAAGCACTTTTGTGGAGGGACAGGGTCAAAGAAGAGAATAAACTAAATGGGAGGTGGTATAGGATGAAGGAAAATAGTTTTTCACAACATGAATATTATGGAAGTGTTTTGCATGACTAAA